TGCTGTCACACACAAGTGGTTTAACCCTCTGTCCCTGCTTTCTGAACTGCAGAGTAAGGACAATAATTCCATCATGCTTCATCAACTTAAGGTGGAAAACAATGAATAAAAGTCTTGGCAGAAGAGGTAACATTATTAAATTCTGTGTCAACTCTGAAAAACAGAGGAAGACATTTGTGTTCTTAAGAAAGAGCTTATAGCCTCGGATAGAAAGCTACTCTCTCAGGCAAAAGTCAACATTTATCCAAAGTAAGAAATATGCTCTGATGCAGACACAGGTGCACACATGGTCATGATTCCAAACATTTCCCCAAAGCCAGTGACTGTTCCCTCACCACTCCCTGATGGGACAGAGCAGCTAAGTTCAGAGTCACTTTGCAGTAGCTCCTTTTGCCTTGTTTTGTCAAATAGGATTTCTTGAACAACAACAGTTCTGAATATGACATTGACCTGATTCAAAGGCAGGGTGCTGACAAGTGAGAGGAATGAGACCATGAACTCTCAGCTCACTGAACTGTGATGCTAATAAGGCCAAGGCAATAGCTGCATCACCTCACGGTCAAATGACCAAGATGAAATGGAATTTACAGCTGCCTTCCCATCACCTTCCACCCATTTCTCAGTGGGGAGCAGGCACAACATTAACAAGGATCCCTCTCATCTCACCCCCATTCTGAAAGTCAAGTGGTATAATCTCATCCCTGTTGAAATCAGGACTAGTTCAGGAATGAGCATTTAAATCTCTGCCAATCGGGACTTGACTTTGACCTTGAAAACTGTTTCAGGGTTATGTAAGAGACCTAAATTGTTCCAGATAAGTGGGGGTCAGGCCTCTGTGTGGCAGAAGAGGAGGAAAGCTCTTTTAATCTCTTTAACATACAATTGACATGGGCTTCCCCGGTGGCTCATGGGTAACGAATCCATCTGCAATGCAGGAGACCCAGGTTTGACCCCTGGGTCAGGAAGATCCCTGGAGGAGGGCATGGCGACCCACTCCAGTATTCTTGCCTGGAGAATCCCATGGACAGAGGAGTATGGCAGGCTACAGTTTATAGGGTCACAGAGTTGGACATGACTAAGCATACACTCATGGTGCTGGGAAAGACCAAAAGGACAAATATCAACAACATCAGATATGCAAATATACCACTCTAATGGCAGAAAGTGAAAAGAAATTAAAGAGCCTCTTGAGGATGTTGAAAGAGAGTGAAAAGCCTGGCTTAAAACTCAATATTCAAAAACCTAAGATCATGGCATCTGGTCCCATCACTCCAGGCAAATAGAAGGAGAAAAAGAGGAAGCAGTGACAGATTGTATTTTCTTGGGCTCCAAAATCACTACAGATGGTAACTGATGAAATTAAAAGATACTTGATCCTTGGAAGAAAAGATATGAAACCTAGACAGCATATTTAAAAGTAGAAACATCATTTTGCCGACAAAGGTCTGCATAGTCAAACATGGTTTGTCCAGTAGTTATGTACAGATGTGAGCGTTGGACCACCTACTCAATGAGGATCACCTACTCAATGAGCACGAATTTGTGCAAACTCTGGGAGAGAGTGAAGGACAGTGGAACCTGGCATTCTGCAGTCCATTAGGTCTCAAAGAGTCAAGAATAGCAACAATTCTGTTAGGTCCAGGATCACAAAGAAGCATATGGAAAAGTGAATTTAGGATNTTCATTCCCCAGTCATTTAAAGGACAGCAGCCATTCTTCTTTCCAAGTGACATTCCAGATATCTTGGAGTGGGGACAAACACCCCCACCCGCCCTGTCTGAACACCTAACCTATAGAACCTGTGAGCACAAATAAAATGATTCTCAAATTAATCAGTAAACATGGAAAGATTTATTACCTAGTAATAAATTACCAAAGCAACTACAGTAAGGAAAAGAAAAATTTGGAAGGGACTATATTTCTAAGTATGAAAAAATGAACATATGAAAAACAGTGCTGAATACTTGTAAATCTAAGGCTGATTCATGTCAATGTATGACAAAAACCACTACAATACTGTAAAGTAATTAGCCTCCAACTAATAAAAATAAATGAAAAAAAAAGAAAAACAATGCTTTTATAGGCCACTCTGGTTAGTACTATATTCTGTAACATTGTATTTTTTCTATAATTGATTCTGAAATAATTACAGTTAACTATACTAGCAAGCAAACAAATGCAATTAGCCAAAAGCCAATGAGATGTCTTAAAATTAGAAATTATGTTTTTGGGGGCTATAAAATCCTGAAAATTATGAAGAAAAACCCCACTGAAACCATCTTTCCTTGAATTGTATTATCAATTTATAATTTATGAAAAAAGCAATATTAGAAATCAAATATCAAACTCCCAACATGATCAGAACTGAATAATATTTTTGGCCTATATACTTTCATTGTTTCATCTTAAATAAATTTCAAGGTTGCATCACCCATAACAAAGAAAAAGACACACTTCAAAACTAATTGTTAAAATATATTAAAAGTAATGTATTAACAATTCTTTTAGAATTTCCACATTCACTATTGCACATTGAAGGCTTTGGGACTTGGTGTGTAGGGAGAATATTATAACACATTCATATTTTTCTATTTTCTTTCTTCCAAAGAAATCAGTCATGATTTAATTTCAGAATCTCTGAGCAATCTAGAGTCATGTTGAAGGCTGGTAGGCAGGTGATACTCAAAAATTTAAGTTCTGCTTTCCTCTAGACATAGAGATATTTTTATTAATGGGGAACAGAAAATGAGAGTATGAAAAGGGTCTTTATGCAAATAAATCCCCAGGTCAGTCTTCCTGAGAAGACTGGTTGCACTGCTTGGATTATTTTTTGCCTGCTTTCAAGTGGCCTGGGTCCTTAGCACTGAGGAGCACTGGATGGTCACCTTTTTTCCTTCCAACTCAATTTCCAAGTTCCCCGCATTTCAGAACAACAGTAAGCAAATACTTGTTGAGAGCACATTCTACACACAAAAATCTGAAGACCAAAGCAAGAATAGATTTCTCAAAGCTTAGGACTAACAGGGAAGCACCTTTGGGGGTAACTTCAGCACCCCAGCTCTCTGCCCATGTAAGAGTCAGGCCGCCCCCTTTTAAATATACCAGGGTCAAATGGGAGACCAGAGAGGCAGACACATAACACGGCCTTCTCTGCAAAAGAAGGGTTCACCTCTGCCACGACCCTCCTTTTTCTGATAATGAAGAAGGAATTGACTCCAAAACCACCAGAACAAAAGAAAAAGAAAAGAGAAGGTAGTTGAGAAGAATGAGCTTTTTGCCAATGGTCTCTGAATTACCTCTGTTGGTTCCTGGAGGCAAGTAAGAATGAGATATTGAAACAGACTCACTGACTTAGAGAAAGAACTCGTGGTTACCAGAGCGGGAAGCGGGGAGGGGAGGGACAGACTGGGAGTTTGGTATTGACATATCACACTAGTATGTTTAAAACAGATAACCAACTACTGTATAAGCGCAGGAGACACTGCTCAATATTCTGTAGTAACCTAAATAGGGAAATAATTTGAAAAAGAGTAGGTATGTGTATATGCATAACTGAATCACTTCACTGACACCTGAAACTAATACGATGTTGCTAATCAACTATGCTTCAATATAAAATAAAAATTAAAAAAAGCATGAATCTTGAATGTTTCACATTATATAGAATATAATAAAATAAATAACTCCTGAGGTATTTAAAAAGTCATAAATGAGGTAAAACAGAGGAAGAAGATTTTAGAAATGAGGCTGCTTTGCAAGGCTCTAAAATGAAAAGAGATAGTAAGAATATAAGGCCTTCCTTTTTTTCCTTTCATATAGCTCCTTTTTGGCTGGAAGTGACCTCTAGTTTGATAATCTAGGATTCTCATGTATTTGTCATTTATTGACAGTAACAAAATGTATCGATCTATGCACGTTGCCATAGTTCCCTTTTCTGATGCTCCTGATAAAGGTAATTTTATCTTTGAGTCTTTGATTTGTGACCCCTACCTGGCTTCAAAGAAGAGTTGTGCTTTATCTGGAGTTGTATTCTGAAAAACGGGAAGCATGAAGAAAGAAAAGTAGTCGGGGAGGTGAACTGGAAAGTAACAAAGGCCCCTGCACTGGGGGTTCTTGGAGAGGCGAAATGGTAGGTAGAGGGTGAATGTTTGGCAGTGATTTCTCAATAGATGAGTGAATTACACATTTGGAAAAAAGCATTTCAAAAGTAAAATAAGTTGCTGTCTCCTCTTTGATGTTTAATTGAAAGTTGGAACTAATTTTTAATTATCTTTATTTGTTGGGCACTTTACAGGATGTGGGCTTCCCTTGTAGCTCAGTTGGTAAAGAATCTGCCTGCAGTGCAGGAGACCCAGGTTTGATCCTTGGGTTGGGAAGATCTCCTGGAGAAGGAAATGGCAACCCACTCCAGTATCCTTGCCTGGAAAATCTCATGGACAGAGGAGCCTGGTGGGCTGCAGTCCATGGGGTCGCAAAGAGTTGGGCACGACTGAGCAACTAACACTTACGTACAGGATGTGATACTATCTTGAAACTGAATTCACAGGAAACTGGCATCAAATCAGGTCAAATTCAGATATTTATTTCCAAAAGGGAAGACGAGTCCTAAGATTTCTAATACACCCCTCACACCTCACTGTGGGACCAATGAATTATGCTAACAGTGGTGATTTCAGGAGCTCATCCTTATGAGGGTGCTCAAAAAAAAAAAATGTACTTTTTAAAAAAAGATTACCAGAGAAGCAATGATTTATACAGATAGCTATATGGATAGATCCATATAGATAGCTAGGCTTCCCTTGTGGCTCAGCTGATAAAGAATTCGCCTTCAATGCAAGAGACCTGGGTTCAATCCCTGGGTTGGGAAGATCCCCTGGAAAAGGGAAAGACTACCCACTCCAGTATTCTGTCCTGGAGAATTCCATGGAATGTATAGTCCATGGGGTCACAAAGAGTCAGATATGACAGAGCGACTTTCATATAGATAGCTACAGAAAGAGCTTTACAATCAAATTTAACTAGATCAATGTGTGTACACAGGAAAAACAGAACTCTCTTGAGAAGCTCAAAGCACATACAACCATTATCTTATCTGTCTTGCTAATGTTCATAAGTGCAATGTGACAACTTCTCATCCTGGAAACTGACACTGAAAATATTAACTTCCTTTCTCCAGTGAGATAATGGTAGATGATGAACAGGTACATAAGGATTAATTATTCTCATTTAGCTCATAATGAAATGGAGACACTCAAAGCAGCAAGTGATTCACCTAAATGAACTTTTAATTGAATTCATATCTTTGGATTTCATGCCATTTGGTGCATACTAAATAGAGAGGTTTACTGGGAGTCCAGCTAATCTTCAGTGAGTGGTGAAAGAAGTCTAAAGAAAGAAGACCCCACTGAGAAGAAAGGAATGTAGAAAAATGGAAGGATGACTAAAAGGCTAGAAATCTGAGCCTTGATCCACACAAATTGGAGAACAGGGTTGATGGATTAACAGCAGTGGAAGAGTAGCAGCGTAAGAAGTGAGAAGAACATTTAACTGGTAGTCAGAAATTAAAGAATTTATCCCTGTTCTCCCACTACCTGGGTGTGTGAATTTAACAAAAGCTATCCAGGATACCAAACTCTTCATAACCAATTATAGGGTTAAACTACATTAGTGTTAATCTTAACTATGTCCTGAGGAACACATAGTTAAGAAGATGATGAATATTCTATGGGTTTTTTGCTAGTTCTACAATGAAATAAAATGCTATTTTAAACAAAATTAAATAAGTTTAGGTACTGTAGATTATGGCATAGTGGTAAAGAATCCACCTGACAATGCAGGAGATGCAGGAGACTTGGGTTGATCGCTGGGTCAGGAAGATCCCCTGGAGAAGGGAATGGCAACACACTCCAGTATTCTTGCCTGGAGAATCTCATGGACAGAGGAGCCTGGTGGGCTACAGTCCATGGGGTTGCAGAGTCGGACACTACTGACCACACATGCGTGCGTGCACATACTTAGATTAGGGTTGGCAAACTATGGCTTGCAGGCTAAACTCAGCCAATTCTGTGTTTTTATAAATACAGTTTCATTAGAATTCAGCCAAGTTCATTAATTTACATATTGTTTATGGCTTATTTTGCACTTCAATGGCAGAGTCCAGGAGTTGTGACAGATCACAACTGTGATCTGTGAAAAATCTGAATTATTTATCTCCTGATCCTTTACATAAAATGAATGCTTGCTGTGCTACAGATCTTAAAATTCTCAGTGTGATCAAGTGAAGTCCAAAATCATTTGACTATACAATTCTTTCATTCCCCAACAATTATTAGTAGCAAGAGTATTCTTTGGAATACTTTAGATTATTTCCAAGATCCAATTGTTCCCTGATTCTTCAAAACATTTGTTGTTCACTTGTTGAATTGTGTCTGACTCTTTGCGACCCCATAGACTGCAGCACACGAGGCCATCTTGTCCCTTACCATCTTCAAAACATCCAACTAAACAAATGACCCAATCTATCCCACTCACTCATTCATCATTCAACAAATATTTACAGAGTATAAGGTATGTGCCAGACAATATTTTTGGTTATTGGGAAAAAGAAGTCAACAAATAGACAAGGAGCCTTGTCCTCATGAAGCTTACGTTTTAATGAGGAGTTATAGCCAAGCAAGGTACTTGACATATTGTATACGAGATAGTGATAGATGTTTGAACATAGAAAAATAAAGCAAGAAGGGGACCAGGGCATTAGAGATCGGAATTGTCAACAGGGTAGTCAAGAAAGGTCTTACTGAGAAAGTGACATTTGGACAAAGACTTAAAGGAGGTAAGTGTTTTAAATGGTGGGAAACATATAAGGCAGAGGAAACAGCCAAGGAAAAAATTCCTAAGAAACAGCTAGAGGTCTGTGTGCGGCAGAGTGAAGCAAGTGATGGAAGGAGGGAAAGACAAACAGAGGGAAGGAGAGAGAGAAAGAGATAGGAGAGTGGAATCATAAAATCAGAGGTTTTGCCCAATTATGGGGAGCTTTGTAAGAATTTAGAGACATTGTAAGAATTTAGATTGTTACTTTGTAATAAAAAACAAGGTGCTATTGGATGGTCTTAAAGAGAGACATGATCAGATTTTCATCTTTAAAAGGTCACTGTGGCTGCTGTGATCAAAAAAACTGTTGAAGGAGGTGGCGAGAGGAAACAAAGAGAACCGGAGAAGGTTTTTGCCACCACCTGGCAGCAGGAGGAACAAGGATTTGCACACAGTCATAGCAAAACAGGTGGAGAGAGCTGGCCATACATTTTGAAAATAGAGCCAATGACATTTTCTGATGCACTGAAAACGGGGTGTGAAAAAAAGAGGAGTCAAGGTTACTCTCATTATTTTCCAAAACAAGAAAAAGTTAGAAATGATAAAAACGGAAATGCGGAAGACAGTGGGAGGAATACATTTTTAAGGGCGCATAAGGAACAGAGTTTGAGGTGTTGAACAGGATGGATAAGTTCAGGGACGAGAGATGGGCTAGGGATGCAGGTATGTGTGTGTGTTAGTTGCTTAGTCATGCCCAACTTTAAGTGACCCCAGGAACTGTAGCGTGCCAGGCTCCTCTGTCCATGGGATTCTCCAGAATCCTGGAGTGGGTTGCCATTCCCTTCTTCAGAGAATCTTCCCAACCCAAGGATTGAACTCAGGTCTCCTTCACTGCAGATGGACTGTATGGACGTGGATAATGAAAGGATGGTATATAAAGCAATGAGGCTGTTCAACAAGGGAACAGAGTGGACATCTGCGGACTGGAGGCTGGTACCCTCAGCATTTAGAGGTCAAAAAGGTAATGTGGAATCAATAATGGAGGTTGAAACACAGCAGCCAGTGGACAAGACTAATCACAGAAAAGTAGGGGGTGGCCTGGAAGACCAATGATGAAAGAGGGGAGAAATAATCATGTCAAAACTATTGCTAGATCACGTAGGATGAGGACAGAGAGGAGTATTGGCTTTAAGAGATAGAAATATTGACAAAATCAGTTCCAGTGAAGTAATGTGGACCAAAGGCTGACTAGAGTGGGTTTAGTAAAAACATGAGAGGAGAAAAATTGAAGACAGTAATCTTTGAATTGCATTTTTGCCTGCTTGGGGGAACATTTTCTACATTCAGGAAGCCCTTCATTATAACACAATTTTCCCATGTACTGCCAAACCCTTTCCCTCATCTTTTTATATGTCTATGCAATGCCAAACATATGGATAATATGTGAAAAATCCCTCAGCCATCTGAATGTTTCCAAATACACATAAGTTTGAAATAAAAAGCAAAATATTTGGATGACTAACAAGATTTTTCATTTGTATATCTGTATGTCTACATAGTATCAAGGTTGAGATGTCTGGAAAACAGAAATTACTACTAAATAAATTATATAATAGTAATTTATAGTTCCTATTGGAAGGATTATCATGTGTTAAGAAAATTCTTGAATCTTCTGCCACTTTATATCCTTAAGTTTATTAGAAATGCCCAAACAGCCTATAGTATTCAGATTATTCTTTGTGTTTAGGAAACTGAGACACATTAATTCAACTTGACACAATAAATCAAGATCATCTCATGCTGAACAGAATCAAGATTACAGCTGAATTGTTTTATATACACATTTCACTTAGGTCAATAAATGTTTGTTAAACAACAAATAAATAAAAGATATTACAGTTTTACTATTCTGAAAATGTTCACTTCCTTCTATGTTCATGGCAAGAGTATTAATGAAATGCAAAACACAGATTTACACTTTGATGGATAGATGTGTAACATCTTACAAATCTAAGCTAGTGGGTCTCAAATCGTGGGCTTCCCTGGTGGCTCAGATGGTAAGGAATCTGCCTGCAATGCAGGAGACCTGGGTTTGATCCCTGGATTGAGAAGATCCCATGGAGGAGGGGCTGGCAACCCACTCCAGCATTCTTCCCTGGAGAATTCCATGGACAGAGGAGCCTGGTGGGCTACAGTCCGTGGGGTGGCAAAGAGCCGGACATGACTGAGCGACTAACACACACACACACTCAAATCTTACTGTTCAATACAGAGGGGGCTTGTTAAAACACAAAATGCTGACCCCACAACCCTATACGGATTTGTTTGAAATGATTCTTTCATGGATGAAGTGAGGATAGGTGCTGAGTGGCAAAGGGTAGATTGTGCTGGTCCACACTGATCAGCTATCACTATCTGAACCCTTTCCCATTCTGCTGTTAATAGCAGGTAGCCTCATTTCCCAGGCTAGTTGCTGCCCTTTGATTTATAATTAAGTTAAGGCAATGAGGATTGAGAGGGAGATTAAGTAGGAGAAAGAAGCCAGAAACTAGTATATTTCTCTCTCCACCTGTTTCGCTTGCTGTCTCCGGAACTGGTTGTGGTTTCTCCATAACTTTAGCTTGCACTGGGCAACTTCTCTGCCCATGGTCCCACCTTCTACTGGACAGTCCCCACAAAGAACCTAGATGGAGGTGGGGAAAGGCAATTTTTGTGCCCTGGAGCCAGTCGACCTAGGTCTCTTCAGGACCTGGGTTAGCTACTGCTAGATCCCTGCTATTGCTAAATGCTGGGTGGCTACATCACCCTGGTTAATTTCTCCTCAGTTTATTCATGTTTATCTCCGATCTTCCACAGTAAATTCTTAAAATGCTCATTTGCATGACTGGGCTCTGACTAATATTGCTACTAAGAAATTTGAATTATTTTTCAAGTTGCCACAGGACAGTCTGGGCTAGCATATTCTATCAAATTCAGACACCTTCCTAACCATCAGCAGGTTAGTCATACCCTGATCTCACCCTCAAAGTTTATAGACAATGGAAAGAGATACTCAGAGAAGGGAGAAAGGTGATGGGGTAAGAGTCTAACACTGCTTTTTGTCACCCACAGCTGAAACTTAGTTGACAGAATTAAACAGCAGCCTCTGATGTCACTGTTCTGGGAGCGCTAAGGGTCTATCCTCATGTTCATAAAGGGTCTCTCTACATTAATGTGAGCCTTTCAGAGGAAGTCTAGGATTACCAGGTGTGGGGAGAAAGGTAATAATTTAGAAATTTACTTTGAAAGCTGCAAAATAGTTAACCTGTATCATCAAGTTCTTTCACTCAGTAGAAACCATCAGGACTGTTGACTTTTAGTTAGGTGTGTGCGTGCCCACAATCATTGCATGTATGTATTAATGCCTTCTGAGATATTTGCTTTCCTTCATTTCCTTACTTTATAAATGCAAGTCACTTGCAAAGGCTGCAAATGACTGGAGCGCTGCGCTCAGATGTGTCTGACTTTCTGCGACCCTGTGGACTATAACCGGCCAGGCTCCTCTGTTCATGTGGTTTCTCAGGCAAGAAAATGAGTGGGTTGCCATTTCTTTCTCCAGGGGATCTTCCCAACCCAGGGATCGAACCCGTGCCTCCCATGCCTCCTGCACTGTAGGCAGATTCTTTACCAAGAAGCCATCGGGGAAGCCCCAGGACTGGAGGCCAGGCTCAGTTTAAGCGGTAGTCCAGGGGCAGAGAGCTCTGAGGGCAGGGACAAGAAACACCCAGCACACTTATCCTACGAAGTGAAGGCACCGTGTTCAAACTCATAGCGACGGCAAGCCGTGTGGTGTGCATCCAGATACGTGGGTTCCGACTGTAAGCAGTAAGTGGACGGATATTCAGAGACAGCTTTCTTTGTTTAGGGAGCACTGCCTGTCGACCCAGCACACAGAGCTGATGCTGTCAGTACTGATTTCATCACACATTTTCTGGTCTGCAACAGAGCTCATAAAATAACCACTAACTGAAGAAAATAATCCATCTAAGCAGCCTTAATTTTCACTGATAAACAGAGCAAGTGTGGTACAACTCTTCTCTCTGATACAGGTTCAGTATTCCAAGAACTGATTTATATGTGGCTCCTTGACTTTATCCATTTGCAACACAAGATACCTGTTAGCATGTGACCACACTCGCTGGCTGCCAACAGTGTGGAGAATCCAACAGGGTGATAGGCTAAAGACGTCTGCCAAGACCTAGGGCTGATTTCTTCCGGGGCACAGTATATGCTATAAACATTGTTGTTAGTTCTTCTTCAGCAATAATCTGAAGTGTATCCATTTGTAAACTCATTTCACACAAAGTACAATTACGAATGATATTTTAGTGGTTCCAGTCTTTTCATTTCTCCTAGAAACAAAATGCAGTACTATCATTCAGGAAACTATTACCGCATGTTTGTTCTAGAAAAATTATCTTGATTTACTAGAGAGATGTGTTAAGTTTGAAAAACTGGTTAAATATTCAATGACAATATTTTCTTTTTCAAAAGATATTTTTCTTGACGTGGACCATTTTTAAAGTCTATATTGAATTTGTTACAATATTCCTTCTTTTTCATGTTTTGATTTTTTTGACCCCAAGGCACGTGGAATCTTAACTCCCCAACTAGGGACTGAACCCGCACTCCCGGCGTTGGAGGCTAAGTCTTAACCACTGGACTGCCACGGAAGTCCCTGAATGGCAATACTTTAAAAAGACAAAGTATGAGATGCTAAGGGGTGAGTTGATTCATTCTCTGATCTAACAAAAGCCACTTTTAGATATTCAACACTGTATTCACAGTCAAGTTTTTCTTTTTCATTTATTTCTGGGAAACCCTCTCATTTGAAGGTTCTTCTTTTCCCAGTGGAGTCCTATTACTTTTTTTTTTTTTTTACTATTTCACATTACTTTGAGTTTTAATATCTATAATAATTTTCTCTCTACTTTTATCCTTAACTGAACAGCTTTGCTCCTTTGCTCTATTTTTAAGTGAGAGGTAAGATAAATCAAAAAACTAAAAACAAAAAATGTTAACTAAAATATAAATTCAAAGCAACAAAAATCAGTAAATTGCACCTTGTTAACCAAATCTTAGCTCAGCAAAAGTGAGCATCGGAACGTGTGGCATTCCTGCACAGCTTTTATGAATTATAGTTAAATAATTAACTATAAATTATTTAAAAGAGCTTGATAAGATCACAAGGGAAACCATGATTGATCTGATTTTGAAAGTTAGTATGGTGGATGTGTGGAGAAGGAAATGGCAACCCACTCCAGTATTCTTGCCTAGAGAATCCCATATACAGAGAAGCCTAGTGGGCTGCTATCCATGGGGTCGCCCAGAGTCGGACATGGCTGAAGCGACTTAGCATGCATGCATTGGAGAGGGAAATGGCAATCCACTCCAGTGTTCTTGCCTAGAGAATCCCATATACAGAGAAGCCTGGTGGGCTGCTATCCATGGGGTCGCCCAGAGTCGGACATGGCTGAAGCGACTTAGCATGCATGCATGCTTTGGAGAGGGAAATGGCAACCCACTCCAGTGTTCTTGCCTGGAGAATCCCAGGCACGGGGGAGCCTGGTGAGCTGCCGTCTATGGGGTCACGCAGAGTCAGACACGGCTGAAGCGACTTAGCAGCAGCAGCATGGTGGATGTAAATAACATCTTTTTTCAAGGTTTTTCCTCTGAAGCCATCGAGGGGCCGCGGCAGAGCTGATGACGTTGCTAGACCAGCAGGGGTATAAAGACGAAGCCAGAACTTCCCTTTGCACTCCTGTCAAACCATCTGTACTCAGAACACCAAACTAAAGAATTATCTGTGACCTTTGGTCAGAATTCTTCAGGTGTTAAAGGGCTTCAGCCAGGCAGGGCAGCTTTCTTTTTCTAAAAACTAGAGTATACTCTTTCCCTTCAATGAGGGTTCTGACTTCGCTTGCTCTGGGAGGCCTGTCCTCTGCTCTCTCTCAGAGCACTTTGCAGGCATTCTGGCCAGTTCCAGAGGCCTCACCACTGTACCCCTCTATAGACCCTCCAGATAAGGCGGTCAAGTGTTTACCTGCTTACCCTCGGCAATTCTGTCTTTATAATTTCTGTTTCTCTTAGGAAACTAAAGCAAAGAGAAAAAAAAAACAGAAAGCTTCTCACTCGATTCTTGCTTTCAGTCTACTTTTTCATTTCTCTACTTTTCATTCACTTTACGTTTCCTAAGGGTGACTTTTACTGTTTCTTTACTTGTACATCATGAGTTCTCTGCCTGAATGTTTGTGATGTGGTTTCAACCCATGCTTTTATTAAAACTACTCCATCAAATATCATCAAATACGCTTAACCACCAAATCCAACAGCTACTCTTTAATCCTCATTCTTCTTCCTTCAACAACACACTCTTATTCTATTTTTGAAGTTCTGTATTTATTCATTTGTTTGGCTGCATAGGGTCTTAGTTGCAGTATGTGTGATCTTCTGTTGCAGCACATCAGCTTCTCTCTAGCTGTGATGCGCGGCCTCAGGAGTTGTCGCACAAGGGATCTTAGTTCCTTGATCAGGGATGGAACTTGTGTCTCTTGCATTGCAAGGCAGATTTCTTAACCACTGGGCCACCAAGGAAGTCCCCACAATTATTATTCTTGCTCACCTTCTCCTAGTTGATGTTCTTTTTATTTAGCTACAGTGATGCTCGATGACCCTGAATCTGAATATTTCTCCATTTTGTTGCGGGCTCCTTAGTCCTCCTTCCCTTCTACTACAGATACTCTCCTCCTATCATATATGTTTTCTCATTTCCTACATGGAGTACATAGAAAATTATTTAAACAATTCCTCTAAAATGAATTATCCATAAAATATTAGTACTATAGTCCACGGGGACACCAAGAGTTCAACACGACTTAATGACTGAACAACAATCCTATTCCCTTATTTCCGAAGATGGAAAGAATTCATAGGCACTTTTCTTTTTCCCCATGCAGAAGTGAAATCTGTGGCAATTCATGACCACACAATGAATGTCAGAAATGATCAAGGAGAAACTAACACTTTTTCGACAACAAAAGCAACAAAAACAAAAGTAAATTTTTCACAGAAAGGATCAATACTAAGAAAGAGCAACTAGTATTCTGGAAAGAAGGCTTCCCTTGTGGCTCAAGACAGTAAAGAATCCACCTGCAATGCAGGAGACCTGGGTTCAATCCCTGGATTGGGAAGATTCCCTGGAGGAGGATATGGCAACCCATTTCAGTATTCTTGCCTAGAGAATCCCATGGACAGATGACCTTGGTGGGCTACAGTCCATGGGGTTGCAAAGAGTCAGACATGACTGAGCGAAGAGATTTAGAGTTAAGATACACGATTCCTCGATCATGCTGAGTCACGAAAGTATAAGCTACTAGGGGCAGAGTCTTTCATCTTTCACCATCCATAGCAATAGGCACAGAGTCATACATGATATGGTCTCTCTCAATGTCTGCTAAATTGAATGGGAGGCTTACAGCAAGCATAGCCAAAAAAATACAGGATGAAATATAACAACAACATTTTACTTACCCTCATCATCAGCCTAAGATTTTTTTCTAAAAAATTTTTGTGCAATTTTTATGCTACAATTGATGAAATATTATATATAAGACAGGGACATCAAATATTGTGGAGGTAGTTGACATCAGCTCGCTAAAGGCCCTGCCTGATCCCCCTTCTAAGCTCACAAGCTAGAATAGCCCACCCTTAAAGCACTCACACAGGGACCAATAAATAGCAGTACTCCAATAGAACTGCATGAAAATGTTCTTCTTCTTTGCTTTGGAAAAAAGACAAGAGAAGGGAATTATTACCAAAGAGAGAAATGAGAGATTGGAGATTACAAATTGACACTTGGTCAGTCCTCATTTAAAGGGAAAAGACAGCATTTCATCTGCTCCTTTCATGAAACTCAGGGGCCTTGAATCATGTGAGATGAGATGGTTACTCTAAATCATGGAGCAGTCTGTGCCAGCGGTTTACAACAGTACTTTATTTTATTTTGCTAACCCACCCCTTAAGTGTCTTAATGCTTTTGGCAGGGTATGAAAGGGGCCTTGAAAGGTTTCTGAACTCATCAAACCCATCTGGAAGATCAGAGCCGGAGAGAGAGAGAAACACTCATACCTGACCCATGGGAGCTTCCCTAGTTGATCAAAGGGGCCAGTGATATCACAGACAGGACTGAGTGGAAGTAGCTCCTGGTGATTTACTGTGCCTTAGAGTTAAGGCAGCAAGACAACTGTCTGAAAGCTGCATCACTAAGCTAGGAAAATTCAAGGGAGAAATCCACAGCACAAGGTACCCAGACAGAGCACAGACCTCTCAGCCATCAACAGCTCTGTCTGATAACAGCCTCAGATAACTATACAATACATGCATGTGTATATGTATCTATACATTTGCGTGTACATGCATTCACACCTATATCTGTATACATGTACACATATATCTACACAAATGTATATGTACATATACACATGTATGTATTCCATTAGTGGAATACTTGATAGGTGGGAATGGCCTCTCTCTCGGCAGATTCATGGGATCTATGGCTGGGAAGTACCTGTTACAGAGGAGGGAGCCAAGAATGGGGGATTCCTTTCCTGTAAATCTTTGCTGAAACATCTATTGGAGCAAGAAATATACATATATATGTAAAAACATATGTATAAATCTAAATGGACATCTACACATACACGAATATGTACAGCTCTAGATCCCATGAATCTGCTGAGAGAGAGACAGACAGAGACAGAGAGAGGCTATTCCAATGCACCAAGCCTTTCACTAATGGCCCTTCTGCAGATACAAGGAAGATGTAGTTGGAGGATAGTAATTTTTGAATTTGATTATTTCTTCCAAAGGAACTTGAGACTTTCAAACAGATCAGTTTATAAATCACCAGACTGTGCCCAACACACTGAAAGGAAACGGGGTTCTGTTGCCTGGCAACTTTAATTTTACTCCCCTCCCCACTAACAACTCCTAAGGGGTGTGTGTCCCATCAGTACGGCTGATAGAACTATTAGGACAAAAAGATTCTGCATGTGTAGACTGCTGAATTGAGACTATCAACTGAACCTACTACATATTTAACAGCCTTGCAGAATATTTGGGGAAGAATCAATGTTTTAGACCATAAAAGTTAAGTATAAAAAAAGTAAAAGGATGGTACTGCTTAATTGAAAGTGAAAATATAGGCTAAAATAACTTATTCATTAATTCCTGATATTGCAAAACTAGGGGACATCCCTAAATTAAAAAAAAAATCTTTTGGGATAAAAAGGAAAGTTTTTATTTACTAACAGAATTTGACTAGGTAATAAATCATAAAAAACCAGGGTTAAGTAAATTGATGGATAGGATGTCCAAAATGGATGAATAAGTGAAAGTAATATGGTTAGAGGTTAACTTATCCTTTTAACACTATTACAAATTATCCCTTGATTTCACTATGAAAGAAAAATGGTAATTATATGGATTAGGTATATGATCCCACATGGAAATTTTTTCCTCCTTAACAAATAGACTAACCTTTATTCCCAGTCTTAATAAAACTTATTGGTTCTTCCTTGAATGGAGTACAATCCAGTGACACTTTGGGTTACAATATTTCTGCATGAGGAATAATCTTATATCTGTCAGTGTAATTTCATAGATATGGTTCAGACTTTTGTTATGGAAAATAACCACAGTCACGTCACACCTTCAATCTGTGCCAAATCTATGATAGTGCTGTCTCAAAAATGTGTTGACGTAACAGGAAACAAAATATCAGAAAAATTCAGTATGTTAAGACAATTTATTTTAACTAATGAAATAAAACTGATTTGATGCAAAAGTCCAGCCTGTTTTCAAGGATGAGATATATTTACATGTTTCTAAAACTGTTATTTTAATTAGCAATACATTATATAAGATCTCATGTTCTTCACATTTTTAAAACTTACACTCCCATGAAGAGTTTACATGACTTGAATGTAGGGATTACTTTGTATTTCCTATCTGAGAAACACTTCAACAATTATTTATACATATTTCTTTTTTGGAGTGCATAATTGTTTATGTATACAGTATTGAAATCTTTCAAAGACTTTATCAACAACCTACTTTTTAATATAACATGTGTTTTGAGTAGAGATGGTATAGCATTGGTTCTCAAATATTAGTATGGATCAGAAATCACCTGGAAGTCTTATTAAAAGATTGCAGGGCAAGTGCAATAGATCGGCAGAGGGGCCTGAGTATTTGTATTGAAAACAAATTTCCAGGTGATACTGGTGCTGCTGGTACAGGGATCTCACTTTGAAAGGACCCCTATAAATAGAAATCAAGTTGTCTGTAAAAATTCTGGGAATTACTTCCAAATTACAAGTAACTGTGAGAGAATTATCCAGAAACATCCAAGTTATAATAAACTTTTCCCATTACTTACTAAAGCAAGATAGTTTTGTTTATATTATTAACCTTCCAAGTAATTTACAAATCTGAAATTCATAAGTATGCTGACTGCCAAAGAATCCCTCTGTATTTAATTTCATTTTGGCATTAAAAATATTTTATGTGAAATGAAACATAAAAACAGCAGTAAAATTTTCTAATGATACATACATGGTTGTGCTTATGCCACTGTAATATTCTGAAGTAAAATCACTGTGTTATAAAGAGACCTAAATACTCTGCTACCTAAGCTATTTCAAACTAAGTATCAGAATACAGATCAGGGAACAAATTGCCAGCAGATAGATAACAGGCAGAGTTTAATTACAGCTTTTGGTAATGATATTTCTTACTTTATTAAAACCTAGTTTCTTATTGTGACTATCTAAGTAGCTCAACTTATTTATGTATAGTACTTACGGAAGATCTCCAAATACATTCTTGAATCTGTGATTTTGGATTGCTCAAATATGTGCTTAATTTTGTGGGAAAAATAAAAGATGGCAGTACTGAACCATGGCCCAAAAGAAAACAAAAAACAAAATCTAAAATGTTATTTCTATAGGCTTATACCCCAACATGTTCACATAAATATTGCAATAAGTGTTTTCAATAAGTTGTGCCTTAATTTATATCACTTTTAATTACTTGCAAAATTTATGTTCTGATTTATATATATAGGAATATATAGAAACATACACACACACAGATTCTGATTCTGGGAAAGATAGAAGGCAGGAGGAGAAGGGGACAACAGAGGATGAGATGGTTGGATGGCATCACTGACTCAATGGACATGAGTTTGAGCAAGCTCCAAGAGATGGTGAAGGACAGAGAAGCCTGGCATGCTGCAGTCCATGGGGTCGCAAAGAGTCAAACACAATTAAGCAACTGAAAACCAATACACACATATATATGCTAGAGATATATCTGATGTAGACTACAAATTAGAAACCTACATCTTTATTAAAGTCTTCTATGTAGTTAAGAATTCTACAAAATTTCTGTTGGATTCAATTGAGATTTCTAATTATGAATTCCTTATTTTTCACTTCTGGCACTTTCCAAGGACACTGAAATTAATGTCCTAGTATGAGCAGCAGGACACACTTGACTGCAATCAGAACAACGAGGCAGGTGTCTGCGAGGCCACCTTGGCAATCAGTCTCTTTGGCGCAAACAATTTCAAAATCACTCTCACATTCCCACCCCATGCTTTTTTCTTCCGTTGACCTTTATGTCTGTCATCTCCCAAAGAATTATTAATCAAGAAATTATTATTGTTGTGTTTTTTTCTTTTTTTTTTTTGGTAACTTGCATACTTACAATCAGGAGGCATCTTTTCCATAAATATTGTGCAATACTCTTTAAGAAGTTCAAAATTTTCCTGATTAATACTTTCTTGCAAAGAGACATCCCCAAACCTAAATATAGAAAAAAGAGAATAGTTATGATTTATAAAACAGGACCCAAAAGTAACTTTTTTTATCTTTCTTTTTTAAATAGATGGTAATAGTTTTGCAAGGGAGGAGTCTGTTTTTTGAAACAACATTGCATAATGGTGAAATCTAACATATTCCAGTTTCCACTGGCCCTGATTCCACCAATCTTTTTTGACATACCAAAGTATTCTTACAATCATCAAATGTGAACCTGAATGAAATAAATCTAAAACACTAACCCCATGCCTCTGCATAACTGACACTCTGTCCAAGTTAGTTTCTCCCATCTCTGCAGGGCTGTATCTCTAAAGACACAAAAACTCTCCCCTCTCTTTTGATCCCTCCAATCTTCCTCCTCACCAGTGATAGCTTGAGGAGCGGTCCAGAAGACCAGGACCAGATACTGAGCTGCAAATAGCCTTAAACACACTGCTGCAGGCACATGGAGAGCCCTCCACTCTCCCAGGGACTAGCTCACTTCTGTGAACTGTATTTTTCTGTCCACACCATGAAGGATGCCAGCCTCTGTACTGGTGCTCTTCTGCTGTCTTCTATAAATGTAGTGGTTTTTTAGTTTAGTTAAAAAAACAACAGTAAAGGATTAAAACATTCTTACCAAATCATGGCAAAGAACACACTAGCTAATGATGTGGGTAGGAGATGTATAGAGAGTAAATTATAGATAAGGAAGCATTTAAAATACTCTCCAAAAGTTTAGCTTTGGGGAGCTTTCTCAGCCAGGCTTTACAGCAAGACAGTAACTTCTTTCTGTAAGAAGTTNCCAATAACAATTATTTTAGTAAATAAAGGAAAGGATAACATGTTTTAGGTCCAGAAAATGTTGACAAAATTAGCAGAGTTTACAATGCTGAAATACATGTGAGCATAAAACAATTCTAAAATTTGATACACACACATAGGTATTTGGAAACATGAAGAAAGCTAACCCATGCGAATATTCTGGTATTGACACCAATATTTTCCTTATTATTTTGCAACATTTAAACTTGGTATGAGCCAGGAATCTTTAAACATGAATAATTCTGTCTGCTATATCAAGTAACTTAGTTTGGAAGAAAGGAAAATGTTACCCATGAATCCAGTGTCTATGCATAGGTACATGTGGAATTACTCAGCATATTCATAACAATTAAAAAAAAGACTGGTCTTATATCTGAACCTTACCTCTCCGCAAGAGTTTGCTGTTCATTAATTCCAACATTAAAAAGTACTGGATACACATGAAGCAATTGTCCTTCTTTAATCTGCAGAGGCAGCGACTCAAACATTCTCGCTGGAACCTTCACCTCCACAACATAATGCTCACTGGAGACAGAGGAGAACAGAGAAGCAGCGTTGCTTTATTTCATTCAATTTTATTTCTTTAGATTCATTGTAAAGAAACAAAAAAACAGCTGGAACATAGCACTGACTCAGGTTTTTGGTTGTTATTTGCTTATTTTCTATTATTAATTCATTTGATAATCATTTCATTCATTTCACTATTAAATTACTTGGCATAAAGAATTGTTTACATTTACTTCTATTACTCTGAGTTGTTTTAGGAAAGGAAGAACATTTAGTGCATGTTCATATACCATGTACATAAGAGCTTCAGTATTTGTTTTCTTGATTTTAATTATTTTCAGACCAGCTCAATGATAAGAAAAGCAATTAAATGATGGATTTTCAATATAGAGAAACTAATGAATGAAATCATTTATAACATTTTTAGCATCCTAATTGTTATTATTGATGAACCTCCTGTTTGTGATGGCCTGATGGAAATGCAATAGTTTTATTATTCAAGACGTAACCTTGGTGGTTCCTGATCATTTCTCCACATTATCATGGGAACATTTTTTTCATTGGAAATTTCCATTAAAAATTACTCTTAATGTTTAGTGTTGAAGATTTAAATTGGGATTCACAAAATAAGGTCAAGAAGAATAACTGCTTATGTATTCTGAAACGTATCTTTTGATCTAGTATGAACTGAGAAAAGAAATGTCAAACTTCACCTGGAATTAAGGAAAGTCCATGTGTTTCCTGAACTATATAGCATGCTAGTGTTGTAATAAGTATATGGTGTAAGGAAAAACAGGACAATGAGTGGGTCTCTGTGAAAATCTTTTCAGTTTCTCTAGTATAATAACACTGATGCTTACTCTGAGTCTTCGACTGCCAGACTTTTTCACCTCAGCTTTGAACGAGAGAACTGGGAAATACCATCCATCCAGCAAGCAGGGATGTTAGCACCACCCTCAGATGAATGGACACTTCATTTTTCTTTTAAAAATTGCTTTCAGTGTCCTTTACAATAGACTACTAGGTGGCTGATATTTACTTATTTCAAAATTTTCTGGAATATGAGAAGATTCAGTGGGTGAAGTCTGCTCTGCATTTAAAGATTGCTCTGAAGGTGAAACATTATACACTTCATGATAGTTTTTTAAAACACTGAAGTATAGTTGATTTACAATGTTGTTTTAGTTTCAGATGTATAGCAAAGTGATACAGTTATACACATACACATCTTTTCAGATTCTTTTCCATTATAGGTTATTATAAAATATTGAATATAGTTCGCTGTACTATTAAGTAGGTCCTTGTTTATTTTAAACATAGTAGTGTGTAACTGCTGATCCCACACTCCTAATTTATCCCCCAATTCTCCTTTGGTGTGGTAGCCATTCCCTTCCCCAGGGGATCTTCCCAACCCAGGGACCAAACCTGGGTCTCCTGCGTTTCAGGCAGATTATTTATCATTTGAGTCACCAGGGAAACCCCAAGAATACTGGAGTGGGAAGCCACTTGCCCTGGTTGCTCACATGGTAAAGAATCTGCCTGAAATTCAGGAGACACACCTTCAGTTCCTGTGTCGGAAAGATCGCCTAGAGAAGGGGATGGCTACCCACTCCAGTACTCTTGCCTAGAGAACTCCACGGACAGAGGAGCCTGGTGGGCTACAGTCCACGGGGTCACAAAGAGCCGGACACGACTGAGCTACTAGCACTCTCACTTCCCCTTTAGTAACCATGTCTGTTTTCTATTTATGTTTTTTAAATAAGTACCTTTGTGTTATTATTTTGATCCTGCATATAGTGACATCATATGATACTTGCTCTGTATGACTTGTTTCACTTAATATGATAACCTCTAGTGTATCTATGCTGCTGCTGCTGCTGAGTCACTTCAGTCATGTCTGACCCTGTGCGACCCCATAGACGGCAGCCCACCAGGCTCCCCCGTCCCTGGGATTGTCCAGGCAAGAACACTGGAGTGGGTCGCCGTTTCCTTCTCCAATGCATGAAAGNTCCATTGGGGCTTCCCTGGTGGCTCAGATGGTAAAGATTCTGCAATGTGGGAGACCAGGGTTCAGCCCCTGGGTTGGGAAGATCACTTGGAGAAGGGAACGGCTACCCACTCCAGTGTTCTTGCTTGGAGAATTCCATGGACAGAGGAGCCTGGTGAGCTACAGTCCATGGGGTTGCAAAGAGCTGGACACGACTGAGCTACTGACTCTCTCACTACTTTTCAGTATTCCATTGCATATATTTACCACATCTTCTTCATCTGTTTATCTTTTGATGAACATTTAGGTTGCCTCTATGTCTTAGCTATTGTAAATAGTGCTGCTATGAACATTGGGGGTGTATGTATCTTTTTGAATTAAAGTTTTTCTCTTTTCCAGGTATATGCCCAGAATTGGGATTACTGGATCATATGGGAACTCTATTTTTAGTTTTTAAAGAAATTGCCACAGTGTTTTCCCTAGTGGTGGCACCAAGTTACAGTCCCACCAGCACTGTAGGAGGGCTCCCTTTTCTCCACACCCTCTCCAGCGTTTATTATTTGTAGACTTTTTGATGATGGCCACTCTGACTGGTGTGAGGTGGCACATATTCCTCTTTACAGAATTTTTTTCCCTTTTATTCAAATTAGCCTAAACGCAGCCCAAAGAGAATCATCAATTAAGGCATTCTAGGAAACTATAGCAGAAATCACTGTTCCCAGATTATTACTCCCCTTTCTTTTCTTCCAGTGATAGAATAGTATACCATAATGCCACGTTTCATTTATTCATTAATAGTTTTTTCAATGAAGTTTTTAATTGACATTTTTGGCTGTGCTGGGTCTTTGTTGCTGCATGGGCTTTTCTCTAGTTGCAGCGAGGGGGCTACTCTCTAGTTGTGAGGTGCGGGTTTTTTAATTGCAGTGACTCCTCTTGTTGCAGAGCATGGGCTCTAGGGTGCGCAGGTGTCAGTAGTTGCGGCTCCTGGGTTCTAGAGCACAGGCTCAATAGTTGCGGTGTATGGACTTATTTGTTCAACAGCATGTGAGATCTTCCTGGACCAGGGATTGAACCCATGTCTCCTGCATTGACAGGTGGATTCTTTACCCCTGAGCCACCAGGGAAGCCATATCTATCGATAGTTGATAAACATTTGGATTGTTTCCCACTTCTTGGCTATTATGAATAATGCTACCCTGAACATTCACATATAAGCTTTGGTGCACACAGATCTTTTCAATTCTCTTGTGTTTACACTAGGAAGGAGTTGCTGGGTCATTTGATAACTTTAGGTTTAATATTTTGAAAAGCTGCCAAACTATTTTCCACAGTGCTATGCCATTTTACATCCCCACCAGCAGTATACAAAGAGAGTCTTTGGTTTTAGCTGGGAATACTAAACCTGGGAAAAGGTCAATTTTCTAGCTTCCCACATATCTTTGTGTGGCCATAAGACTAAGTTCTGGCTTAGGTGATGGAATATAAGAAGTGGTACCTGCACTTTCTGGTGGAAGCATGTCCCCTGCTGCTTTATTCAACCTGCTGGTTTGGAAGGTAGACTTAATGACCGGAATACCAGCAGCCATCTTGGGCCATGGAGTGACTTTGAGAAGGGAAGCCAGAGGACAGGATAGAAGGAATCAGTGACTGATACTGTGGAAGGCCATGCCACCACCTCTAGACTTCTTAAGTACTTAAGAGAAATAAAGTTATATCATGTTTGACACCATAAGCTTTTTCTTATTAGTTACAGCCATATTTAACCCTACTGATACCTCACTGAGCAAATTTTCATTGAAAGCCAATTATAAATCAAGTCCTGAGCTTGGTGTTGAAGAAATAAAGATGTGTGAAGTAAGGCCTGTGAAAATAAAAGCAATCAGAAAAGAGCTCCTGCATCATTCTCCATTTACTCTACCAACCTGCTGCCTGATCTATTAACCTGAATGCTCTGTCCCTGCTTCCATTCCCCCCATGTGTGACTAGGTTCCCACTTCTTTTCGTCTGCTCAAGGATTGTGTTCATGCAATTATCTCTCCACCCTTCTGTATCATCTGTTTCCCCTGTTCCACTGGTTCATCCTCATCAGTGTACAAATAATCTAAGAAATACAGTCTTCTCACCCCTCAGTTTCTCCCATACCTTTATGTTTTCTTTAAGCAAACAGGAGTTCAGTTTCTGTCAGTTGCAACTGAGAAAGTCCTGACTAATACAGGACACACAGATAGTTACCTATGGAAACAACACTTGTACTTTTCCCCATTGGTCTTCAATGGATAAAAAGATTATAGCTCCATAGAGTTCAGCTGTCTCTCCCCAGAGGACATGACAACTCTAAATTGTCCATTTCTCTTCTTCCTGTCAGTAACCTCACAGCTGTCCAGGGATTTCAGATACAGCTGGGTGGATGTTTGAAGTCTATCTTCATAAGAGGTTCATAGGGACAGATACTTATAATGAAAAATGTCTCTTGTTTACATAAAAACTCCTCTTACATAGTTTTGTACAGATTAACTACTGAAGAGGAGAATCCTTGGCTTCAGAATTTAAATGAGAGCCACAAAAAAGACAGGAAAATAAGTGAGAGACACAGTGCTTAGCATCTAGCAGGGTATATTTATTAAATGAATGAATAATTGGATAAATTAATGAAATGAATTAACCATTTACAAATGTGTTGTATTCCCAGGTTGGTTTTATAACTTAGTTGTTTTGAATTTGGGATGCATTTTCTCATAGAAACAATTTTATAAATGGTCCTTAAGTGCCAAGAAATCCCACTAAGGCTGTTTAGCCCATAATGTAGCAATAAAACATAGAAAAGTAAGAGCATCATGTAAGAACACAGTTTAAACAATTTTGAATACTGGTGTATGAGGAAAAGTAACTTTAATCAGGAGATGAGGGGGTGCATGAAAAATGTGGTAATTCCCAATGGGACTTCTGAGACCTTTCAAGTATTCAGTCCCCTTTTTACATCTATTTCAAATAAAAATGCATGCAATATCTCTCCCTTGGTACAATCTTGTACTATT